ATCTGTAGTAATTGGAGCTCCGACACCCTTTGCTTTCGTGCTTCTTGATGGCTTGGCGACACGTATTGGCGCAAAATCGTCATCAACCACGAAATCGTCCGCCTCGTACCCGCGGGCGGTCTTACTGCGGGCGGGGTGTCGTGGAGCTTCGAATGCATCGTCATCGTCGTCGTCCTCTTCATTATAGGCAAACGATCGGATCTTCTGCTTCGGTGCGCGTACGGGGGAGGGAACATTGGTAGACGGAATCTGAGTTTGGGTTTTCTTTGCCTTCTTGACAGCGGGTGCTTTCGCGCGCGCTTTCTGTGGCGAAGAACGAACTTGAAGCTTGAGCTGCTTTCGTTTGCTCTCGTAGTCGTTGCGTGCCGAAGCAGGCTACAATCGTCAGTATGTAGAATACAGTCAGGGCAGTAAATACATACGTGTAAGTAGTTCGTCGCGAAGCCAACTTTGTTCACCTTGCTTCTTTCCCTGAAGGCCCCAGCGTCGAGCAGGTGTTGGAAGATGCGTTCGTTGTCACCGCGTTCCAAGTCCTTGCCGTAGCCCCATCCATACTCTTCTAATCCAGAGCGTTTGATCTTCGCACTGCCCGCGCCACGGAAAGCGTCCACGCACTGGTGCATCGTCACGTTGTCCTCGTGTACCTGGCTCACAAGTTTGATGGCCATGGCAGCGTAGTCCGTGAGGTCTTTAGTAACAAACGTCGCATCTGAGCGACAGTTGTCGCACGTCGAGTTGCACTTAGAGGCATCGAATGCTTCACTAAAGTATCCGAGTACTTGGGCGCGGCGACAGTCTGCTTTGTTTTCGCAGTACTGGATGACAGTTCTCAGCATATCGCTCAGTCGCTGTTTCTGCTCCCAGCTACCTTCGCCTTCCTCGATCATCTTGCGCAATATTCTCGAGTCGGCATACTGATAGTACAGGTAGCACTCTGAACGTTTGCCATCACGGCCAGCTCGACCGGTCTCTTGGTAGTAGCCTTCCAAACTCTTAGGCAGCGAGTGGTGGATCACATATCGTACATCAGGCTTGTCGATTCCCATACCAAAGGCGATGGTAGCCACTATGACATGATATTCGTTCTTCTGCCATTTGCGTTGGACTTCGGATCGGTCTGCGGATTCCATTCCTGCGTGGTAGTGATACGCACGGATGCCCACATCGGATAGCTTCTGGGCCACTTGCTCACAGCTCTTTCGTGACAAGCAGTATATGATGCCGGATTTCCCAACGTATCTCTCTTTGATTAGATCCGCGATGCTGTCGATGACACCTTTGGCTTTTGGCACAACCTCGTAAGACAAGTTGGGGCGGTTGAAACTCTGGGAGAATTGACGGCAACCCTGTATACCGAGGTTTGCTACTACGTCAGTGCGGACAAGCTGGGTCGCAGTCGCGGTCAGTGCAATAACGGGTACTCCTGGAAACTGACGAACGACGTCTCCAAGTGCTTTGTAATCTGGCCGGAAGTCGTGGCCCCACTGACTGACACAATGCGCTTCATCGATGACGATGCGGGCAAGATTGCCCCCAGAATGCAATTGCTGGAAAGCACTGATCATTCTCTGGTTCTTGCTGAGCATCTCGGGTGTTAGATAGAGGATCTGTATGAACTGTTGGGGATCCCGCTGACGTAGCCCGTCCATGATCATGTTCTTTTGTGCTGCGGTCGATTCTCCGTTGATCAGAAAGGCCTGCATCCCAAAGCGCTGTTTGCAGGCCTCCACTTGATCCTCCATCAAACTCAAGAGCGGAGATACTACGATGGTGACTCCTCTTGTCTTGCCTGAGGTAATTACTGACGGAAGTTGGTAGCAAAGAGATTTGCCACCTCCCGTAGGCATGAGCACAAAACAGTGTTCGCCAGACAGCGTCGTGTTTATAGCTTCCAACTGTCCTGGACGGAATCCTCGCAGACCGAAGCGGCGAATGAGGGCGGTCCTTAGATCTTGTGACCAAGGGAAATTCATACCAGGATGATTCTTAGCAGGCATATCCAGCTGCTGCTTCTTCGGTGAAGCTTGCTGGGCTGGTTTAGGCTTGGCTTTATTGGTAGAAGTTTCGCGGAACACCTCACGAGATTGTGTAGTGACGTGATTCCCAGCCCGCTCGCCCTTCCAATCAAAACCACCTGGTGCCTGATTCTCAATGTTGGTGATCTCGTGAAGGAAGTCATCATCGTCGTCCGGTCCAAATGCCTCACCAAAATCATCGTCGTCATTGATCTCAATGGGTTGGTGAAGTTCGCCCATGTTGTTGCTGAACAGGGTTTCGTTCTCTTCAAAGTCAAGCTCGCTAAACTCATCTGGTGTGTGTTGCGGAGCTACTGGCCTTGATCGCTTTGGAGAACGTCGGCGCTCTGGCGTCTCAGGCACTCTATGGGATCGCTCTTTTGACTTCGCTTTTTGCTTTCCTGCCATGCCATCATTCGCACGGGCACGGGAGCCTAGGTTTGGGGGCGGTAGTGGGGACGCAGCTACTTGCTCTTCTGCGAAACGGATATGCCGAGTAGGCGTCCACAGTTCCTGAGCGGGAGCCTCGGTTGGCCTACCGTATTGTGTCTGGGGGATGCGATGTGAGCCTGCATCCCTTGACGCTTTTAGGTGTGGGCGGACCGGGCTCGCTTGGGTTGATTGTATGACCACATTACGGCTGACTTTCGTTTCAGTCTTCACAAGAGGTGTTGACTGCTGCTTGATGGCTGCCGCATCCAGGAGGTAAAACATCTGGATGAGAACATCCTCGTTCATCTTGAACAGTCTGCTGAGGGTTTCACCGTCCGCTGCATCAAATTGACCGATGTTCAAGTCATCCTCTAGCTTCTGTTTGACTCTCTGCCGCTGCCCGATTAGTTCCTCGTGTTTGGATTTCAAGGTTATCAATTGCTCGACTGCCTCTTTTCGTGAACGAGCGTGTTCCATCCTTTCTTGTTCGCTTGGATCAGGCTTGCCAAACTCGGAAAGATGTGCTACAAACGCAGCCCTAGCATTATCCCATGCCGAGCTTGCAGCGTTGAGGTGTTTCTGCAATCTTTGGCCTTCAGTGCACAGGAAGGTATCCATGGATTCTCTGATAGCATCTCTCCTTTCCTTTGGAAGTTCGGAAGAGCTTGGTACGCGTTTTGTGGATGCAGGCACTGGTGTGGGTGTAGGCCTTGCAGCCTTCTTTGGAGACTGAGACTTCGCTGGAGTGGGCATAGAGTCCTGTTCCGGCTGATATGGGCTTGGGCTTCTTACGGTCTTCGAAGGCGATCGTATGGGAAGCTGCGTTTGACTGGCACCTCTGGTGAACTCGGTCATCGGTGTTTTCTCGCGCATTTTCTTCCCTGTTGGGGTGGGTGATTTCGTCCGGGATTGGGTATCGATATCCATCTCATCCAGTGCACCAAATTCGTCATCCTCCGAGTCCAAGACCGCATGCCCAACCCTCTTAGTACCAGGTGTGTCCAAACGTCGATCATTTCTAGCCATGGCCCCGGTCTTAGCGAGATCGTTCTTCCGGGGCGAAGGACTACGCGTTTGCTTCCCCATTTTGCGAGCTGGCGCATTCTCCGAGGGTGCGCGGCTCAGTGACTTGCGTTTGCGGGGTTGTGAGGCTATCGCATTCTCTGCATTCGCCATTTGTCTCTCCTCCTCTTCTAATTGCAACATAGCTTCCATGTCGTCGTCTTCTGCTGTCGCGGTGTGCTTTGACTGTTTGCCTACACCGTCTACGATGGTTGAGTATGGTGGAGGAGGGCTGTCGGGGGCCATGACCATATCATCGATATCGGGGAAGTCATCGTCGTCGACGGGCTCTGGACTGAGCGCATGAGCCTTGCGAACAGGTCTGGGAGACTTGGTGCGACGGAGGTCTGCCTCGTACTCGTCGCTCTTTCGTTTCCGACCCTTAGAGGTGCGCGCTGGAACTGGAGAGGAGCGACCCGCGTCGTCACCAGTGAGATCGATTGAGTCGACATCGACTGGCTCGCGGTACTTCGTTCTCGCGGTAGCATGTTGGGAGGCAGGCGTGCCAGTAGTCCCAGTGATACTCCTCACATTCGCTGATAGATCTTGTATATTGTTCTTGAAACTTCCAACATCACTCGGTTCCTTTCGTTCCCTGCCTGCTGATTTGGAAGAGGATACATGTTCAGGCAACCCCGCTAAGATAAGTCTAGGCTTTCCACTCGCTGGAGTGTGCCTCAATCTTGCCATATCCAAGGTCGGGTCTTCCGTGCCTGGCGGGTTGTGTATATCAATAGTCCGTGTTCGAGCGAGAGCGCGGGGTGGAGCGGGACGTTCGGCTGGTAGTGCTGGTGGGGGTGGTGGCGCGGAGGCAGCTTCAGGCTCATCGTATCCTGCGTGGTTGTCCAAGAAGGAAGAATGCTGTTGTGAAATCGTAGCTGAACTCGTCGGAACTGCGTCGGGATCGTATGCAACGAGCGAAGCCGCTGGCGGAATGAAAGGCTTCTCTGCGATCAACCACTTGAGATGTTTGCTAAGATTGTTCTGAGGCATGAGAGCGTCGCATCGTCGGTGTGAGTCCGCATGAATATTTTACGCGTCGGTCCGTGTAGGCATCGCGGTTTTGCAGGCGTAATGGTGGCGATGTCACCGATAGCATCGTTGACCGTGTTGTGCTAACTCCGGAACGCGCCGCGCTAGCACCAAGTCACGTGCTGGGTGGATGCCGAAGAACGTCGAGTGGACCTGCCGCTTTGGAGTCAAACGTGCCGCTTACTTCACGAACCCGCTCAAGACAGCCAATCGCGAAAGTGGCCCGCTCGATGGATCAAAATATGGCGCAGGTTGCGAAGGCACATGTCGCTTCCGGCTATCCTAGGCAATCATCGCGAAATCTAGACTCTTCATAGAGTCAGACGCGTCCCGTCGCTCGTACAAGCACTTCTCGCGCCAACATTTATATGCTGCACTTCTTCACGTTCCAACATCCACGTCGGGAACGAGCTGTGAATTTTCCCAGTTCTACTTCTATACGCATCAATTCAATCCATCATGGAGGTCCCAGCTCACGAGCTGTTCCAAAGACTGTCGACGTCGATCTCAAAGCTACACTCAGGCCCACCGCCTGAGAATGTCCTTCCCTCAACGAATACGTTGAGTGCTGCTCGCTCTATGCTTCACTCCCACCTCCAGAGCCAGGGCGTGGGTCTCGAAGAAAGCATACGGCACATACAAGAGGACCTCGCCCCAGCCTTCAACAGTAGTTCCCGCTCTCCTAACTACTACGGCTTTGTAACCGGTGGTGCGACACCTGTAGCACTTCTTGCCGACAACCTGGTCACAGCCTATGACCAAAACGTGCAAGTTCACCTACCAAATGAGACCATCGCCACAGACGTGGAGGATCGAGCTCTTTCTCTATTGTGCGAGTTGCTCAATTTCGCACCAGAGCAATGGCCACACCGCATATTTACCACAGGTGCGACGGCAGCCAATATCCTGGGGCTGGCGTGTGGACGATAGTATGTGATTGCTGAAGCCTCAGCACATCGTACAGACGTCGAGATTAGCGTTGGCGAACTTGGTATCACGGAAGCTATGCGGAAAGCTGGTATCGACGAGATCCAAATCTTGACCACGGTACCGCACTCATCGCTGAGCAAGGCGGCAAGCATACTAGGTCTGGGGCGGACGAGCGTCAAGTGTCTAGGAGAGCCAGATGCGCCGCACAAATTCGACATGCAGCTACTCAAGAAGTCTCTTGAGCGACCTGGTGCCGCATCGATCGTGGCTATCTCTGCATCCGAAGTCAACACAGGAGTCTTTGCGACTTCTGGGTTAGAAGAAATGCAGGAGATGCGAAAGCTGTGCGACATGTATGGAGCATGGATACATGTGGATGGTGCGTTTGGGCTCTTCGGCCGCATATTGACCTCACCCGCGTACTCCTCTATCACCCAGGCTTGTGAAGGTCTTGAGCTTGCGGATTCGATCACAGGTGACGCGCACAAGCTGCTCAACGTGCCATACGACTGTGGCTTCTTCTTCTCTCGACACCGCAACATCGCTGAACGCGTATTCCAGAATCCGAACGCGGCATACCTCGCTTCTGGGAACGACGCGAACGCCATCATGTCACCACTGAACATTGGACTCGAGAACTCACGACGATTCCGAGCGCTGCCGGTTTACGCCAACCTTGTTGCGTATGGTAAAGAGGGCTATCGTGCGATGTTGGAACGACAGATTGAACTCTCGCGAGGAATCGCAAGATATATTCTGGAGACTGATGGATATGAGCTCCTCCCTCAACACGATACTCCTCAGGAAGACGTCGTAAACAGCATATACATCATTGTACTGTTCCGTGCAACAGATGAAGCACTGAACAATCAACTGGTCAATAAGATCAAGGCAACGAGGAAAATATATGTGTCAGGTACAGCATGGGACGGGAAGCCAGCTTGTAGATTTGCAGTTTCTAACTGGATGACGAACGCCGAGAGGGATTTGCCCATCATCAAACAGGTGTTGCAAGCCATATTGTCCGACAAAGAGAGTGTACAGTCGAAATAGCGAACTGTATTTACAAGAATGGAACGAGTATGAGCGTATTACATGTCCTCCATCTTGTACACTTCGTATACTGGCTCCTCGTATGGGTGTGCTCTGCTTCCATCAGCGATCTTGATCATCACTGGAGATGGACAGACTCACTTTTTCAGTGCTTCCACGGCCTTGACAGTTATGTCGCGCCCCATGCACATGGCCTCGACTCTGTACTCGTCCACTTCTTGTAGTTCACCAGCCTTGCCAATCTAAAAGCCGTTGTCAGACTTCACTGTTCATCACACTGTGGCTCTACCTATGCCTAAGAAACCTACGTGAGGGTCGGCAGCGTTGCCCGGTCTAAATTGTCCCGTTCCTCTGCTTGTGAAGCAAACTTCGGTGTAGCCCCCCGGGCCTGGATAACGCCCTGCACCGGCACTAAAGACAGCGGTCTTGCAGGCGCTGAGGGCAGAGGGAGGGACGAAGAATATAATCTTGAACTTTTGCAGACTTGATGCCATGGTTACGCAGGTAGGAAGTGATGAGTTGATAGTTATACAAAAGAGATTGGAGTACCCGCAGCCTTTTGGTATCAAAGTTATATGACTGCAGCTGAGATCCACGATGATGTGGATGTAGCCAATCGCAACGGTGCCTGGGGCGGGGCTACCTTCACGGCAGCTGCACAGCACCGCATATGGTAACCATGAGCAGTTTGGTATGTGTGAGGCAGACTCTACCAGCAAAACGCGAAGCCTAATAATGGGAAGTCTGTCTGAGAACAGAATCAAAGGCGGTCAAGTTTGCGTTGTTGAGGTGTACCTCGAAGCCCGGTGCAGTCTGACGGTTGAAGGAAAGGTGGCGGCACGTTAGCCCCGCGCCCCGCTACAGGCAGACCGCACGTGTCAGGGTGTTTGTTTACCTGTGCGCACAACACTAGGAAAGTGTCCAGTTGCACAAGGATACTCCGCGCAATTCGCGCCCAACCACGACCAGCCCACAGCCATAGCAATCATGGCTTCCACGTCCCCGAGGAAATCTACGCGCGCCGCTGCGACGCGCCGAAAAGCACCCGTTGTCGACGACTCGGACCACGAGGAGAACAGGACCCCGACGCCCGAAGTCAAGCAGGAGGAGGAGGAAGAATTCACACCGGCCCCCGCGCCACTCAAGACGGGACGGGGACGGGGGAGGCCTCGGAAGGCTGCAGCCCAGAATGAAGAAGCGACACCCAAGCCCGCAGCGAGGCGGCGGACACGCGCCACAGAGTCGGTCGAACCCACGCAGACGCTCACACCCGCGACAGAGAGGACCACCAGGGCGGCTTCACCCTCCAAGGCGGTGCCCAAGAAGCGCGGCAGGAAGCCACGTGCTTCTGTCGCTGCACCTCCGGCTGAGGATACCTCGCACTTGCTCACGCCTGAGCCTTCAATATCGCCCGAGCCCGAGGTTGAGCAGGCGTCCGAAGCCACCGTTACACCAAGCTCGCCGCTCGCCGATAGTACAAACGACACGGCAGACGATGCCACGAATGACATGGTAGACGATCCTACGAGTGACGCTGCGAGCGATGTTACCATGACCGACCGAACGCCGGAGCCTGCACCCGCACCTGTGCCAGAACCCGTACCCGAGCCTGTCGCTGAGGTTACCCAGATAGAAGCGAAAGACGAGTCGCCCGTACCGGAACCGAAGGTCGAGGTCGAGCCTTTATCAGAGCCTCAGCCCCCAGCCAAGGTCATGGAGGATCTCGGCACACAACAAACTATGCTTGAGCCTATAGATATTGTGGTCAAGAGGCGAGCGGCAGGTATCCCCGCGTTGCATGAGCCTGTGGCGCCTAAACAGCGGACAGTAATCACCTGGCTTGTCCTCAATAACTTCAAGAGTTACGCTGGCCGACAGGCGGTTGGGCCCTTCCACGCCTCCTTCTCCTCCGTGGTGGGACCGAACGGCTCCGGGAAGTCAAACGTCATCGACTCGCTTCTCTTCGTCTTCGGTTTCCGTGCAAGTAAGATGCGACAGAGCAAGCTTTCCGCCCTCATTCACAATTCGGCGGCGTTCCCGGACCTGGATTACTGCGAGGTCGAAGTCCACTTCCAAGAAGTCAAGGACCTCCCAAACGGCGGCCACGAAGTCATCCCTGACTCAGACCTCGTTGTCTCTCGAAGAGCGTTCAAGAACAATTCGAGCAAATACTACATCAACAGGAAGGAGTCTACATTCACGATTGTCACGACCCTGCTTAAAGACCGCGGCGTGGATCTCGACCATAAGCGTTTCTTGATCCTGCAGGGTGAGGTTGAATCGATCGCGCAGATGAAGCCAAAAGCACAGGGCGAACATGACGATGGTCTGCTAGAGTATCTCGAAGATATCATCGGCACGTCCAAATACAAGACACCCATTGCAGAGTCAGAGGTCGAAGTGGAGACCCTGAATGAAGTCTGTCGTGAGAAGAGCAGCCGTGTACAGCACGTCGAGAAGGAGAAGAGCAGTCTGGAAGAGAAGAAGAACAAGGCGCTCGCCTACATTCGTGACGAGAACGAGCTGGCCTCGAAGCAGTCCACCCTCTACCAAATATATGTGTCCGAGTTCGACGATCACATTCAAGTCACCCAGGAATCTGTCGGACAGCTCCAGTCGCAGCTTGATGAGGAGTTGCAGAAGCACCAGGGTAACGAGGAAGAGATCAAGGGGCTTGAGCGACAATACAAGACTGGCGCGAAAGAGTGTGAGCAGCTCGAAAAGAAGAACCAGGAGTACCAGAAAGAGGTGGCCCGCGTTGACAAGGAGACGGTCAAGTTCGAGGAGAAAAAGAAGTTCCTGGCTAATAAACAGAAGAAGCTGGAGAAGACCAAGGAGACAAGTGGCTATGGTCGATCGGAAGCAGACAGCCTCGCCAAGCAGTACGCTGCGGACGTCGAGCGCTACAACGAAGAGATTGCTGAACTCGAGCAAAGCATGGAGGTCGAAGCGAAGGAGCTCGAGACGATTCGCAAGAGCTTGGCTGGTAAAACACAGGGTCTCTCCGACGAGATCGCTGCAAAGCAAAAATCTTTGGAACCTTGGAGTGCGAAGATCAACGAGAAACAGTCCGCTATTGCAGTTGCCCAGAGCGAGCTCGACATCATGCGTGAGCGTGAGAATGCAGGTGCCAAGGGTATTGCCGAAGTCGAAGCAAAGATCGAGAGCTTGGAGGAAGCCAAACAGGCGAAGGTTGCGGAACTTGATGAGTGCAAAGCCGAGAGGAAGCGTGTCGAGAAGAACGTACAAAAGACACAGGCTAAACTTGAGGAGATAACTCAACAAGAACCGGCGCTGAGGTCGAAGCTATCTGGCGCACGAGCCAAGGCAGATGAGGCCCGGGCAAGTCTCTCTTCCGCTCAGACTCAAGGCAACGTTTTGACGGGTCTGATGCGTCTGAAAGAATCAGGACGTATCGATGGATTCCATGGTCGACTCGGAAACCTAGGCACCATCGATCAGAAGTACGACGTTGCTATCTCTACGGCCTGTCCGCAACTAGACAACATGGTTGTAGACACAGTAGAGTCTGGTCAGCAGTGCATTGAGTACCTACGGAAGAACAACCTCGGTCGCGCCAACTTCATTCTCCTGGATCGCCTCGCCAAGCGTGACATGTCGCCAGTGCAAACACCCGAGAACGTGCCACGTCTTTTCGACCTTGTCAAGCCTAAGCACGAAAAGCTCAAGCCTGCATTCTTCCAGGTTATGACAAACACGCTGGTCGCCGAAGACCTTGACCAAGCTGAGCGTATCGCATATGGCGCGAAGAGATGGCGAGTCGTCACCCTAGACGGCAAGCTTATCGACACTGCGGGTACCATGAGTGGTGGTGGAAGCAGAGTAGTCAAGGGAAAGATGTCTTCCAAGCTCGCGTCTGACGTCTCGAAAGACCAGGTCACAAAGCTCGAGCATGACCGCGATACGCTTGAACAGACCTTTGCTGAGTTCCAACAAGAGCTGCGGGAGCTCGAGACTGCGCTGAGAGACCTCAATCAGCAGATACCCGAACTAGACACCAAGTCACAGAAGCTTGCGCTGGAACTTGAGAGTTTTGATCGCAATATTGCGGATTCTCAGCGCCGCATCAAAGAGCTAGGTAGTGAACAGACATCCACGAAGACCGACAAGGGACGCATCGCATCGCTGGAGAAGAACATCGCCACGATGGAGAAGGAGGTCTCTAAACTTCGTGCAGAGACTGAGGATATTGAAGCGGAGATCAAGGCTCTTCAGGACAAAATCATGGAGATCGGAGGAGTCAAGCTACGAGGTCAGAAGGCCAAAGTCGATGGTCTCAAGGGACAGATCGATACATTGACCGAGCAAGTGTCCAATGCACAGGTCGCGAAATCAAAGGAAGAGAAGCAGTGCGTCAAGCACGAGAAGGCACATAACGATGCCATCAAAGAGCTCGAAAAGCTTGCTCTTGATGCCGAGAAGGTTGAAGATGATATGGCTTCACAACAACGCGACGTTTCCGGGATCCGACAGCAGGCCGAAGAAGCGCAAGAACAGCTCGAGGCCAGGAAAGAAGAACTTCAATTGGTCAAGAAGGAGCTCGATGAGAAGCTGGGCGAGCTCAACGAGACGCGTGCGGTCGAGATTGAGATGCGCAATAAGCTTGAAGAAAGCCAAAAGACTCTGAACGAGTACCAGAAGAAGCAAGCATACTTCCATGACAAGCTAAGCAAGCTCGCATACCAAAATGTCACCGACTTGGGCGAGGAACAAGAAAACGGAGGTGAAGGTCTCCCGTCTTACAGCAAAGACGAGCTTCAAGACATGGACAAGGCTACTCTCAAGGACCAAATCGCCCACTTGGAGAAGAAGAATGAGTCCACGCAAGTCGACCTAGCGGTCCTCGCCGAGTACCGCAAACGTGTCGAGGAGCATGCTGCGCGCTCCACAGACCTCGCTTCTGCTGTCAGCGCCCGTGACGCTGCAAAGCACAAGTGCGAAGAGCTTCGACGTCTTCGCAAAGAAGGTTTCAAGGCTGGTTTCGACATCATCACTGCGCGTCTCAAAGAGATGTACCAGATGATTACCATGGGTGGCAACGCCGAGCTCGAATATGAAGATACACTCGACGCCTTTTCCGAGGGCATCCGGTTCTCAGTAATGCCTCCGAAAAAGTCATGGAAGAACATCAGCAACCTTTCCGGTGGTGAGAAGACATTGAGCTCTCTAGCTTTGGTGTTTGCTTTGCATCACTACAAGCCTACACCGTTGTACGTCATGGACGAAATCGACGCGGCGCTAGACTTCCGCAACGTGAGCATCGTGGCGAGTTACATCAAGGAGAGGACGAAGAACGCACAGTTCATTGTTATCTCACTTAGAAACAACATGTTTGAACTTGCATCGCGGCTGGTCGGCGTGTACAAGGTCAATCACATGGTAAGCTCATCTCAAGTGCACACTCAATGGCTTCAGCATCGTTTACTGACTTATTTTAGACGAAAAGTGTTACGATTGAGAACAAAGACTATATCATTAAACAGGCTTAATGATTGGTGGGCAACGAAGACTCTTGCGATTGGTGTTTGGTGTTGGGAGTAAACTCGCGGGCACGTATTCGGTATGAAGCGGAATGGGTTGGGCTAGCTGCGATGATACCATACTGAGATACATGCGGCCTGGTACTGAACGAATGCAATGTTGAATGTCATTATCATTATATCTATAAAACCTCGCTTTGAGCACTGATATACCTAACTGAGCGTCCAAGGTTGCGCGAATCTACAGTTGCACGGAGCTAGATCAAACTAGCTTTGCTCGCTCTCCTCCCCTAGGCTCTTTAAGTGGCAGCAGTGTAGTCAATTTCACTTCCCGTCCCTTTCATCAGGCATAGCGGCTGCCTGCGCACACAACAAAACTTCTCGACCGAGGCGTTGCTACGGTTTCCAACTCCCACGCAATCGCCCCTCGCCACCTCGGACCTCCACCTCATATACCGCTTACACTTGTCTTAGCTTTGACCATTGCTAACAACCTACTCGAGTACGTCAACACGGGTTACACCAACTTTCGGCCTACACCACATACCCACCTCCTGCCTCTGCCCCTACCTATACCTATACCCGCAACCACTGCACGTTCTCCACCAACACAATAATACACTTCTACTTCACCAGCACCTCACAACTTGAGCGCGCGACTACGTCAGCCGCTCACAACACCATGGCCCACGTCACTGACTCCGTTCCCACCCCGTTGAAAGGCCACACAACTCGAGATGTTAGCAGCGCAGAAGAGGCAGCGGTAACTCCTATATCCGAAGCGAAAAAGACCTCTGAGAGCCCTCGAGTCGAAAAGAGCAATGGCCAAACTACGCCTAAGCGAACTCTTCGCAGTACCAAGTCTACCCAGACCACTCTGAGCAAAGACACAACAGTCAAATCTGTCGAAATGACGGCTGTATCAGAAGAATCAGACTTATCTGCATCGGCGACAAGCAGCGATGAAGGGGTTGCTGCAAGGTCAGCGTCCGGGACTGAGGAGAACTCTCGCGTAGACCGCAAGGCCAAACCATTCGTCACCTCTTCGAAAGACCCTCGCGCCGTTGCTCAGGAACATTCGTCACATGGCAAGAAGCGCGCGGCAGAAGACAAGAAAGGCGGTCGAGCGAAGCGTCAAGTACGATCATCCCAGGAGCTGGGTCTGACCTATAACAGCATCAAGGCAATCAACATGCCGCCGCGTGATCTCGTGGCCGGCCAAGACCCTCCAGCTCCCACACCCGGTGCATCTCCCTATGGTGACACAGAAGATCACCAGAACAGTATGATTATCTACTTGCTAGATGACTTGGAGCACACATACTCGCAGGCGACTATCTTGTACAACAAGGCATTCCCAAACGATACAGTGACGGATGAAGCTGTACGTCGCCGCCATATTCGGTCTCTCGAGCGCTTACAGAAGCGCTACGGTGCAAGGCCTGCTACGCAGATTGGCGTAGTCGGCAGGAACATCTCGAGACGTGGAAGGCCGCGTGCGCCCCGTCTAAGTGGTATTCAGCCCGAGAAGGACTTGGTTGCTCCCTCCGAGGAGCAGACCGAAGGCGAAGGCGAAGGCGAAGGCGAAGTCTCGGCCCTCGAAGAGACTTCGGCGGATACATCGATTGCTTCTTCGAAGGGTGGCTCGGTCAAAGCCATGAAGCAGGCTCAGCGCGAGAAGCGGAACTACAAGAGCCACGAGTTTGACAAGGCCTGCATTGTTGTTTGGCACGATGCTGAAGGCATGTCGTTCAAGGACATCCGCAACAAGCTCGAGGAGCGTGGATGGTCCCTTGGCGTGCCCACGGTCAAGAAGGAGTATGCGAAAGCTCGTGCTCGCATCTGGGGCACGTCACCAGAACCTGCCGCTGACGATACTAAAGAAGGTCATGGAGAAGTGATCGAAGATGAAGAAGACGGAGACGTGAACATGGAGGAGGAATCAGTTGAGCAGGAGGAGATGTGAGTTGGAGACGACGGGGTGGCAGGCGTCACCGTGCGGCGACCCGATAGCACAGATTGGAGGCGACAAGGACTGGACACATGATTGTAAACGTAGCAGTGCGACCACCTGATACAATGCAATGTTCTATTGAAAATCCCCACATCCGTGCACATTGCGTGAAGTGAATCTTGAACGCAGCGATGCTTGACCGTTCTCTTTGACTAGTTTTAGCTCGGCGCACGGACCACTCTGCCGCGGCCTTGAACCGCGACTGGATTCCATCACTTGTACACGACACGGAGCCATTTGGCTGTATCGACACCCGCGCCCCCGCACGACCGAGAAGCCCCCCGAAGACGCACCCGAACAACCGACGCAACCACCCGGCCTGTCTCTGTGGCGCCTCGCAGTATTTCGAGCGCGGTGATAGCGTGAATGACGGCGCGCGCACCCCTCAACCGCCCTTCTGCCTCGCGGCGCGCTTTCACTTTTTGCGCTTGAGTCACACGCCTATATTAATACCTCAACTGCCCTCCAACTCCCCGAACACGTCCAGCGACGCTTAGCTCCCATAATACCACACGCGACCATGGCCGACGAACACCCACCCCAGAATGTCGGCGGCGACTCCACCGCGGACAACGATGAGGAGGACTTCCGCAAGATCATGCAACAGATGTCGCGGGGCGCTGCCGAAGGCGAGGAGGATCTCCTGGGCGGTATCGCGGATCGGCCGCTGGATATTGGCGAGAAGGCCGACGACGCAGTCGACTACGAAGACATCAGCGATGACGACTTGCCGGACGAGGAGTTTGCGTCGGGCGAGGGCGCCGATAGCACCCAGAACTTCAGCGGAACTACTCTACAGGATTCTGGCGGCGCAGGTGACAACGAAGACGTCGACATGGACGACCTCTTCGGCGACAACCACGACGATAACGATGATCTCTTCGGCGACGATCCCAGCCACTCCGACCCGGTGCAAGAGTCCGCGCGACACGAAGACGACCCTCTCACCTCCATCGAAGACCTTGTCCAGGAAGGCTTCAGTAGTGTCGCAGAGGATAAGCCACAGTCTGCCACCCGCAACATCGCCACCAGTGTCGCACAGCAAGAGGTGGAAGAGGAAGACCCCGAGGTGCGAGAGCAGCTGGCTCTGTTCGCACAGTCTTCGCGCAAGAAGGATGAGCCGGCGGCTGCACCCGTAAAGACATCGCGAGAGGAGTTCGAGAAGATCTGGCCCAACTTTGAGGCGGACAAGCCGCCACGCTTCTTCAGTCTGGTACCTCGAAAGCGCGCTTTCTATATCCCCAAAGTTCCGCAAAAGACACCGAGACCATTCCAAACCAACAAGCTTACCTTGGACCTTGCGACGGACCAAGAAAAAAGCTTCCGGTTGCATCCTACGACCACCACTGCCAAGTCAGGCCGGCAGCAAGAAGAGGAGCAGGGTGGTCTCATTCACATTACCAATACCGCCGACGAAGATGGCGATAGCGAAGATCAGTTAGAGTTGGACAACCTCGACACCATCGACGACCGTGAGATGATCGGCAATGTATCCTGGAGCGACCTACGGATTGCCTGTGAGGATTGGGACGTGCCAGATGGTGCAAGCGATGTGACCATGTCCGACGGGAACCAAGCACCAACGCCGCCTGATAGCATGGGGGGCATTGACTTCGAGCAGTTATCGCCGAACAAGAAGCGGAAGCTTGGAAGCCGTGAGCAGCCCATCCAATTCTCCGTATACGATCACATGGACCTACCCACCTGGGACGATCCCGAGCTTGAGACGGCGCGACTGTCCAAGAAGACTCTTCTCGACATGAACGACCCCCATCTCCTACTGGATGTGCAGCAGCCCAGTGCAGAGCCACCGAAACCTCGGACATTGGGTGTAGGCCTCAAGCGCGACAGCCGCGGAAGTCTTGCAAACCCCATGTTCAAGCGCTACAACATCTCCAACGATGAGGCCTACGACGCGCTCAAGGAAAGCAGCCAACAGAAGGTCCGTAGTACGATTGGCCACATGAACGTTGAGCACAGCTTGCCCGCACTGAAGCTGCAATATCCTTTCTACAAGGTTGCGCTGTCCGACCGCGAACTCCGGTCTTTCCACCGTCCTACTGTCACGTTCAAGCCCGGTGAGCGAGCTAGTATCTCAGTCCTCAAATCTGTCAAAAGGAAGCACAAGAAAAACCTCAAGCCATCCGAAGCTTTCGCGTCAGCAGAAGACCTCAACATTGGCGATAATTCTGACCTCCTCCTTGCCGAGTACTCGGAGGAATACCCTACCACGTTGTCCAACTTCGGTATGGGTGTCAAGATTCTCAACTACTACCGTCGGAAGGACATGGAAGATACTGCGCGACCAAAACCGGAAGATGGTATTGGTGAGACCTCGGTGTTGCTACCGCAAGACAAGAGCCCATTCTCGCTGTTCGGTCAGGTTGAGCCCGGCCAGCAAGTGTTGACGCTTCACAACGCCATGTACCGAGCTCCCGTGTTCAAACATAAGCCCGAACAGACCGATTTCCTTGTGAGCAGAAGCTTCACTGGTGTTAATGGCCCCAAGTACTACATGCGAAACATTCCAAATCTCATGGTCGTCGGTCAGCAGTTTCCTTCTGTGGAAGTGCCCGGTACACATGCCCGCAAGGTTACTGAAGCCTCGAAGAAGCGATTGAAGATGCTCGCGTTCCGCTTGTATCGAAAGGGACAGCAGAAGAATGCGCGTCAACCTTGGGTCAGCAACGAGATGATCAAGCAGCATTTGCCTGGTACCGAGATTGCGCAGAATCGCTCTCGAATGCGAGAAATCATGAAGTACCAGAAGGACATTGGAACTTGGGAGCCGGTGCCTGGAGAGACTGTTCCCGAAGAGCCGATTCTACGCACTTGGATCAAGCCAGAAGATGTTTGTCTGATCGACTCGATGCATGCTGGTGATAAACAGCTGCAGGACGCCGGCATCAAGTCGAACGAGATCCGTGACGACGATGAAGAGGCTGACAACGAGAACGCTGATGTCAAACTCGCGCCATGGAACACAACAAAGAACTTCCTCAACGCTTGCGCTGGCAAGGCCATGTTGGAGCTTCATGGTGACGGTGATCCTACCGGTCAAGGTCTGGGTTTCAGTTTCATCAAGGTTTCGATGAAGGGTGGTTTCAGAGATGTTGGTGAGAGTGCAGCTGATCGTCTCGATAACAAGAAGATGAAGGAGCTTGGTGGCCACAGCTACAATGTCCAGCGTCAACAGGTCATGTACGAGAACGCCATTAAGCGCATCTGGAACAAGCAGAAGGAGAGTCTATCTGCTCAGAACCCGCCCTCCGACACCGAAGACGATGTGGACTCTGCTGTAAACCACAACAACACAGGTCGCCAGCGTTCCGAAGTCGGCACCCCGGCCGTACGTCCTGATGATGAGACCATGTCACAAATGTCTCGCAATAGCAATGCGGACAACAGCGGCAAGAAGCTCAAGATCACTCGCACTATCAAGAACAAGTACGATGAGTACGAGGATGTCACAGAGGTCATCACCGACCCCGCCGTTATCCAGCTCTACATCAAGCACAAGCGACAGCAGCGTCTTCTCAACATGCGCATCGAGGACATCAAACCAACTGGCGATCCTGAAGTGGACAGGGCCCAACAGTTGAAGTTGAAGGCAGAGTTAGCACGTCTAGCTCGCAACATTGAACGCCGTGAAGGTCGTGAAAAGGCAAAGGGTATGCACAAGTCGCAGACCGGAGAAGGTGGTGCGACTGGTGGACCAGGCAAAGGCGGAGCAACACCTCGCAAGTGCGCTAACTGCGGCGAGGTGGGTCATATCAAGACCAACAAGAAGTGCGTAGACAATCTTCCCTTTCTTCAACGAATTTACTGACAGATTTTCCACCAGGCTCTGCCCGCTCCTCAACGGCCAACGGAAGCAGAACGACACATTCAGGGACGCAAGTGCTGCATCTCCCGCCACCGTCGTTCCTGCTACTCCATCCTTCGCCGGCTCACCGTCCTAGAACGACAACGTCACTAGCGGCACAGTGACTGGCTCTCCATCCACTGTTCATAATCCCGGGGCACCCCATTAGTAGAGGACATGATCGAGATGCAACAGCTGCTACGTATCATAACTGGTTTTTCAAGTTTGTACAAGGACATTCGTCCTGCACGGACTATCTGACTATTAACGCATCATGTGTGGTGGTATGAGCATGGGGATTTCGAGTCTTTTTCTCTTTCAATGCATAGCATGGCGTTGGGCGGACCAGGTCAAAACGGTACTCGGAACCTGGGCTTACTTCGGTAGCTCTCATGGCGTTTATTCTTTTGTGAGCACAGGTCTTATGTGCTCCGCTCGTTGACACTCGAGCAAAGTAATCTGTATAACATGTTCCCTGCAGAGGGGCGAAATGAGAGTAATCATTCATGAATTGTGCTTGTCCATGTTGGTGATCATGTCACTGTTTGTCGATAGATGATCATGCCAGGTTGGTCGACTTGATCTGGTCATCCACATGTCCTCTATTTCAGTAGAGTAGAGGACCTCACGTACGTTGCGAAGGAATACATGATAATGCATCCACAGTCTCATACATTGACTATACAAGAAGATAAGAAAGAGTTGATACAGACGGCAAGAAAAAATCGCACAAAATCCATGTGAACTCTCTCGCAATGCTACGTTCACTTGAAGCAAAAATGCTTTCCCATGCAAGGTTGGTCTCCAAACACCTCCGCCAATATACACATTCCTATATTCGCCTAAAACCCCACCTTCCATATCCTACACCACCCCATTATTCATCCAGATAACCGATTTTGCAGAATTGGTTCAGACTCCGCACATCCAACTGAGCGGTAAGCAATGCGCCGAGCATGGTCTCTTTCCGAGGTAAGATGTCTGCCTTGACTTTCCACGAGCTACCGTTGAAGTTGAAAATCTCCATGTCGTCGTCTTCATCTTCGTCATAGTCGTCCTCATCATCGTGTTCCATGTGCCCGTTTGT